AGTTCATTGGAATAACATTTTGCCTTGTAACCTCAGGTTGACTATCTCCTTGCTAACTGGAGCACCTGGTGTTGGTCAGCACTGTGTTCTAGTATTGTGAAGAGTTTAGACAATCATCGGAATCATATTCTGGAACCTGGAAGACTCCTTGTCAGTGTCACAAGCCCAGTATTGATCGGCAAGAACAAAAATGTTAAGTTGGGCTCCTCACTTCTGCCTCAGTCTCCCTGGTCCTGTAACAGTATCCCAGTCAGCAGGCAGGCACTAGGACACATTCTACCAGATATTAAAAGGCAGGAGCAAGCCAGTCTCGGTGCACCCCTGATAGATGGTCTGGTTTTAGTGCAGGTGAGCAGTGTGCTCACAGACTTCAACACTTTCAGAAATAAACTACGAGTAGGTAGTAAACAAAAGCTCTACACTACTCATCAGGTAGTGTTCCACATCTGAATCTGTTATTCACTCCATCTTTATACTGTGGGCAAGAAAACCTAGTGGATGCATGCTAGGCACTTCTGACACATTTCAACCATCCTGTGCAATGAATTAAGGAATTATTTGGAAGACTACCCATGCCACAGGGTCTCATCTCCCAAATTCCTTCAAAAAGAGAAGCTACTTTCTGCATTATTATGAGGGGAATTATAGGCTTTCTGAATGTCTAGAGGTTAGGAGGGAGGTGGGTAAGACAGGGAGGGAGTAGGGGGGCCAGAATTATCCATCCAGAGAACCTTGGATGGATATGCCAAATAAAAGACCTAAGAAGATGCCTTCTAACAAATATTTGATTCTGTTATATAACTTAGCTAAATATGTCCACAGTCATTTATATTACTTCCATGAAATACAACTGCATTTTCTACGTAGTAATGGGGTTTATGTCTGTTCATTTTCCCATATTCAAATAAAATAGGAATCATTTTAGATATTAAGCTAGTTACAATTTTGGGGGTAGGGGTGAAGGTGGGAGTGAGGGTGGGGGTGGGGATGGGGAATCATCAAATTTAGCCATCAGCAAGTCTGAAACAATATAGTGGAAGCCTGGAGTTTATCAAATTATGTATAAATATAAATCGCTGTAAACTTTATTTAATCAATATTAAATTCTGTTGTTCCATCACAGTTTTAGGGGTTAATGAATCATTCTAAGAATGATTCCCTGAGCCTAATGTTTAATTGTGGGTCTCTGCATCTCTTACCATCAGTTACTAGATGAAGCCTCTCAGGTGACAATTGGGATAGGGCTCAATCTATGAGTATAGCAGAATAACATTAGGCATCATTACATTGACATTTTCTCCCCAGCATCATGTATAGCTCCAACACTTGAAATAAACCAGAAAGGGGATACAAAGTTTTCTTCTTCTTCTCCTTCTCCCTCTCCCTCTCTCTTCTTCTCCTTCTCCCCCCCCCCCCCCCTTCTCCCCTCTCTCTCTCTCTCTCTCTCTCTCTCTCTCTCTCTCTCTCTCATACTACCTTAATAACATCATTGAGATATTAGCCAAGTAAAAATAGGCTGTGTCTATTGTCTCCAAAGTCAGCTGTGTTTAGATTTCAAACATTGGGCTTCTTGTGGCTGGGGGACATTGGAGTCGACAACATTGTTCTGACATCGCATAAAGGAGAGCTACAGATAAGCTCTTCTGCAGAGATACAATTTTTCCCTAGTAATAACTGTTATTCTTTTTATGCTGCAGCTGTTGATATAAAGAAAGGAACAACGGATGAACAACCCAAATGGAGTTTATTTACCTGAAGGGGGGATGGAGCTGGGTTGTCAGCCAACCCAAGAGGAGCCAAAGAGGGAGAAAGATGGAAGGCTGGACCTTTTAAAGGGAAGGCTGCACATGGACACTGGGGTTTCGCACATGCACAGAGTCCTCACGCAGGCCGTAATGCAGGTGACGTGGCCATGACTTAGCAAGTTTTCCTGTGTGTGCCCTGCCTGTCGTTAGGGGGCGGGGTCATCCAGGTGTATTGTTCTTACAATAACATCTGACAAATATGTATATTTAATGAAATCTTAATTGAGAACATTTCTTTTCTTTTTATAAGATTGAGGAATTTAATCTACATTTTCTGTTTTCTTCACCCATAGGAGATGATTGCACCCAAGGTCATGTACATGCTAAATTCATGCTCTACCACCGGGCTATATACCTGGCTCCCATCTCAACCTTTTCAGAGTTTCTATTTCCAGGCTAGTGAGATGGGTCAGTAGATAAAGGCATTAGCTTCCAAGCCTGACTACCTGAATTCAGTCCCTGGGACCCACACACATGGTGGAAGGAGAGAACCAACTCCCATAAGTTGTTCTGTGACTGCCACACACATCATGGCACACCCACAAATATAATTTTAAAAAATTCAAGGTTGTGATTTCCAAGGAAAGAAATGATCTTCTATGGCTTTTCATTTGTCAGCTTCAAAATCAAAGCAATTTGAATAATTCTAATTCAGTTGTTATAACACTTGGAATTTCGTTACTAGGGAAGCCTACTAAGAAATGGTTAGCAGGACTTTTTTGAACAAAGTCACACTGCTAGATTATGAGATATGGGAATACATCAAACAGCTCTGCTTTTGTGACTTTTACTTAAGAGTGTGAAATGTTTTAAATTAGACTATGTTAGTATTGATGGAATGTGCACAAGAGGAAAATAGTTTAAAGGCTTTGCTCCATTTTGAGAGCTAGATAAATTATTAGACTTAAAAATCAAGCATTGTGACCTGGGAGTAAAACAACTCTCCTATACTTTTGGATAGAGTGGAAATTAGGATAAGTGTTTTAAAAAGCAATTTGATAATGCCTAATAAATTTACAATGCATTTATCCATTAACCTGGTAATTTTGCATGCCTAGAAGAATTTGGATAAGCTTATACAGGTACACCAAAATAGTTGTATGAGAATGTTCACCACAGTGTTGTTAAAGTAGCAAAGGAAAAATATTTCAACAATAAGTGCACAGTAGAGGAAAATGCCCTAATTAATCACACAACACAAACACACACACACACACACACACACACACACACACACATAATTTTTAATGGAATACTATAAATCACTGAGAAGTATGTATGGATAATTCTGCATAAAATTGAGAAATAAACCAGGCATGGGTCATTAGAATGCCTCTGTTGTATAATTTAAAAGACAAATACCTATGTATATATGTTAATATATGCACAGTGGTATTTATCTCAGTTTTATCCATTTAGAACAAATAAAATACTTCTGACCCCTGTGCATCTGTGGATTTCAAAAGTTGATGCCCCTTTGATGGGCGAAGGCTTTTTTTTAAGCTTTCTGTAACTTCCAGGAATTCTTATTAAGTTTATTCAACATTTTCTCTTTTAAACAGTTTCAGTGAAACTGTTCTGAAGTAAGACATTGTCGCTGTTCTTGGTTTGTGTAACTTAAACCTTTCTAAAATAGTTTAATACTCTGTGAACGTTCCAAGATCATGAGGCATAACTGACTTAAGCATACGAAGCAGTCTATTGTCAGGAAATCAGCTTGTTTTCTGGGTGCTATTCACACCACAAACAGCTCTTACCAATACCTTCCTACCAGTGTCAGAGCACCCCTTAGCAATGTGGATGGAGGTTAACTTGCAGTTGGATGGTTAGAAATATGCCATCTACCTTCCCTTCTGAGCAAGCAAATTGAGAATCAATTAGTACAGTTGTTTTTCTAGAGTGTAGTCTAAAAACAAACAAACAAATAATAAAACAAAAAAGAAAAGACTCCAAAACAAAATCCTCTCTGATCAGACATTTTTTATTAATTAAATTTATTTATTTTTACATCCAGAGCTCAGTTTCCTCTCCCTCCTCTTTTCCCATTCCCTCTCCCAATTGACTCCTCCTCCATTTCTGTTCAGAAAAGGACAGCCCTCAAGTGGATATCAACAAAACATGGCATATCAAGTTGTGGTAGGAGTAACCACCTCCCTTGTATTAAGGCTGGGTAAGGCAACCGAGTATGAGGAATAGATTCCCTAAAGTGAGCCAAAGCATTAGGGGCAGCCCCTATTCCCACTGTTAGGAGTCCTGCAAGAAAAACCAAGCTATACAACTGCCGTATGTATGTAGAGAGACAAGGTTGGTCCCATGCAGGCTCCCTGGTTGTTGGTTCAGTCTCTGTGAGCTCTTATGAGCCAGGTTAGTTGATTCTCAAGGTTTTCTTGTCATGTCCTTGACCCCTCTGTCTCCTACAATCCTTCCTCCATCTCTTCAGCAGAATTCCCCGAGCCTAATGTTTGACTGTGGGTCTCTGCATCTGTTGCCATCAGTTACTAGATGAACCCTCTCTGGTGACAATTAGGGTAGGCCCCAATCTATAGGTATAGCAGAATAACGTCAGGCATCATTACATTGCCATTTTTTCTCCAATTGTGTTTGATTTCTCCTAGGTCTGGGTGCCATTCAGCCTCTGGGTCCTGGCATTCCAGGAAGTGTCAGCGGTGGGCTCATTCTCATGACATGGGTCTCTGGCTGCACCAGTCATTGGTTGGCCACTCCCACAATCTCTGTACCACTCTTACTTCAGTACATCACATAGGCAGGACAGACTGTAGGTCGAAGGTTATGTGGCAAGGTTCCTGTTCCAATCCCTCCACTTGAAGTCTTGCCTGGGGCAGGATATGTCCAGTTCAGGCTACCATCCTCTATTGCTAGGGGTCTTAGCTGGGGTCATCCTTGTAGATTCCTGGAAGATTCCCTTGAGCCAGGTTTCTACCTGACCCCAAACTGTGCCCCCTGCCTCCTGCCCCCTGGCCTTCAGCCTTTCCAGTTCTCTCCCCTTCCATCCACCTCCCAACCCCATGCCTTACGTTCCCATCCCATGATCATGGATTCTTACTTCGTCGATCCAGTCTGGCATCCGAACAGAGGGATGGACCCTCTGTTTTTGACACAGCATGATCTAATTTGGAAGCAATTCCCACAAGGAACCAAAAAGAATGACTGTGTTTTGCTTGTGACTCTTTTCAGAACTTCGACTTCCAGTGAGTCCCTCCGTGTGCCTGGATCAGGGGATGCAGTCACAGCTGAGTGCTTCCAGTCACCTCTCAAAAGGAGCCAAGCCACATGTGTGGAAACCATGGGACGGGCAAAGCAAACAGTTGTAAGATAAACACATTAAATGTTCTGTCTAGCATATATTGGAAGAATCAAGAAAAAAACCCTAGCAATCAGCTCTGAGAACTTGAGTGTGGGGATGCAGCAGAGTGGGGAGCAATTCAATGAATTGCCAGGCCCCACTCACAAGAGCATTCCGTTAGTGTGTCTTACAAAGGAGTGTCGTCATTGACTTCCTCCTAGACGAATTCCAACTTCTACCGCTGTAGAATAAACATTTAGGTAAATTGGACTCTTAGTTAGTAAGTTATATTAATGTAAATTGGATTTAGAACCTTGAAAATGTAAAACTATAAAATTTAACTTCTATTTTATACCCACATGGCATTGCTTTAGTCTTTGAGTAGGGAATGAATGGATTTTTGTTAGTTATTAAATTTTTATGACTCCTACTATCTAAGAAAGGGTATCAAGTTGTTCAAGGTATTTTGGGGAAAGGATGTTTTTAATACAATATTTGTATTAATTCTTTGGGAATTTTGTACAATGTATTTTGATCTCATTCTCTCCTCCTAACTCCTCCCAGATCTGTCAGTCACCTCCCCAACTTAATGCTTTTTTTTTTTTTTAACCACCAAGTCCAATTTGTACTACCTACATAGCTGTGGGTATGGAGCTGGATGATCCACTGGAGCTCCGTCAATCTATCAGTGGCCATACTCTTAAAGGATCTGACTCCCCTATAAGCCATCAACTATCAACAGCTCCTCAGTTAGGGGTGCAGGTTGTCAGACTTCCATGCTTCATGTTCAACTGCTGAGTGGCTTACTCTTATGCAGATGTAGTGAAGGCAAACACAGCTGCTCTGAGCTCAGTCGGGTCCTTCCTGACCTTTGGCTCTCACAGTCCTTCTGGCCCCTGTTCAATGGGGTGGGAGGGCTACACAGATGTTCCGTTTGTAGCTGAGTGTTCTAATGACACTTCTGCACTGTGATAAGCTGTGAGTTTCCATGTAACCACTGTCTATTGTACAAAGAAACTGCTCTGATGAGGTCTGAGATATACACGAACGGACGGGTATATGAATAGAATTTTAGAGAGCTGTTTGATAATATGCCCATTTAACAAAATATTAGTAGTTTAGCCCTGGAGCCTGTGAGTGCTTCAGGCAGAGTCTTAGTCAGATTTACAGTACTAAGCATCCATTTCCTCCTGTGGCACATGCTGTAAGTTCAAGCAAAAAGTGCTTTCTTAGCCTAAACATGTAAATGACTATTGCACCCAGGGGCATATTTTGCCACCCGGGTCAGTATTGTAGTTCGCAGGGTTAACAAGTGGGTAGTACTTTTGATGACTTTGCCCTGCCCCAGGATCTTACATATAGTGCTATCCAGTAATACAAAAGCTGGCCAGCAGGGAGCAAGCTTCCAGGTCCATATCAAGTTGATTTCTTCCTGTCCTGTGACCAAAGTGTATGATGTCTTCAGCAATAGGGTCTTACCATCAGGTTCTGGTGGGCCACCAAGAGCAATAGCAACAGCCTGTATCATTTGGGAGATCTCCGAGACACTCTTGACCAAGCACTCTGGCGGAAGTATCCCACACTTTGTACTGGGCCTTTTATGTTGCTGTCTGTAGCTGCTGGGAGGAGTGTCATCCCCTGCTTGGAGTGATTCTCATGAAACTTGTGTTTCTTTATGTGGAAAAAGGGCATACACTTGACATTTATAAATAGCAGGTTTCCATATGGCTTTTCTGAACACCCTTGGGGCTGGTTATCCCTTCTGTGCCTCTCTGTTATTAAACCTCCCTTCACGTAGCTTCCCTTTCTTCTTCCTGTCACCTGTATCCTACCACCCTCTCTCCTTAAGACCTTTCTTTCCCCTCCCCATCAATGGTGACAAACATTTTAGTGACGTCGTTCAAGACATAATTAAATGAGCTTGCCTCATCTAGTTGTATAATTACTAGAGAATGTTTCAGCATTTAATAGTACTTATTGAAAAATCATACATAGCTTCTGCATAATATTTTAACTTCCACAGTTGTCCTAAGCACAAGCTACCCATACATATTATCAATTAGGCTTAGGTACTTGACATAGAGACATGGTACAGAAAAGCAAAAAAAAAAAAAAATCATGTATTTTTGATACAATTTATGATGGAAGTGTGTTTGTTTCATCACTAAACAAGAAACTAGTCTTATTTATTGTTTTCTTCATACTCGGCCTTCAAGTTGGTCTTTAATTATCAAGAATGATGGCGTGTTTGTTAGGTAGACATGAAGGAGTTGGGGAAGTATTCTAGCATATTCTTGATGGCCTGTCTGCTGTTAAACAGTTCACTGTCTTTGCACAAGCAGAAGAGAAATCACCAAAACAAAACAAGACAAAAAACAAAAACCAGGAGGTTGGGGGGAGCTTCTCACAGAAATTCAGGTACTCACCTCTGCTGTCACAGTCCCATGAATCTGACGTCACGGGTAGTGTGACTAATTTAATATTCAGAAATCTTTAAACATTATTGTAAGTACTGTTTTCCTTTGGGGGAAAATCGTTTAATTCGGTCTTCCAGTGCAGAGAACGCTATCCATTTAAAGAGCGTGTCTCTGTGCCAGGGCACCCCCTAGTGGTGAGCGAATAATCCACAGCTGCAATTGTTTCAGGAATACCACACACAAAGGCTGGGCTAAAGGAGGGGTGGGGGGAATGAGAGGAATTACCAAGGTCTAGGTCATTCGCACATTGCATACTCAATTTCTAAATGCAGTGCTATGTTGTTTTATTTATTTATCTTTATTTATTTTTACTAGGAATCAGACTACAGTCCCTGTTCCACGTGAAGCAATCCTCAGAGCAGAAGAGCTATCTGTGATTCTTAAAGCCTACGTGTTGGTGACCTCCTTAAGGCCTTTGCGTGCGTTCATTCATTCAACTGGCACGGTGTGGAGCCCACCTAAGAAGAAACGCTTCACTGTCAAGGTAAAGATCCGACTGAAGCTGTTATTTCACACGGTACACTGAAGATAAGTAAACTAGGTTGGGCTGCCATTCTCCGACCTTTATGGCTATCAAATCTCTTTGAACAAAGATTGCATTTTTTTTTTATTGCTGCAAGCAGAGATTTTCATTTAAGACGTGCAAGTTCAAAAATAAGCTGGAAATAGCTTAATTCACTAAGGATCCTGAAGGCCACATCCGATTTTTTTCTTCTCCTTAACCCACCATTTTAGTTTGGTTCTTTGACCTATTACCCGGCTAGTTCTTGCCTGTTTTCTGTTTTCCCTGACTTTCCATTTATTAAGAAAAATATATAGTCAGTGCAACAAATGAAAACACAATTTTGTCTTTCCACATTCCACTTATCTCTTTAGAATGCTAGATGACTGTTGTGTTTACATCCATCAGTCAATACTGACATGTCTGCTGCGTGAGAAGAAAAGCCCTCAAGCGTGTGTAATATTGCAAGCACTGGTATCAAACATAACAAGGGAGTTTGCAGAAAGCGCTCACTAATACCTCCAAAGAGTTATAAGAGGTAGGCCAGGCGATGCTAGAGAGCTCATCCAGGTAGCAGAGACAGGGGAGAGCTGGTGGGCTGACCAACCCTGCAATATCCAGGCTCAGAACTAGGGTTATGTGTTGGCCTACCCCAACATCCACCCTATCTGTGATCTGCTGGGGCACTGGGTGGAGTGGGGTGTGTGTGGAGGGGTTGATCCTGGGGGCTGCTGGATCTCCATGACTCGGGGCAGCAACTGAATGTACAGGAAGATTCCCAGTGAGGGTCCAGCATCAATGGTGCAGCAGAGACGATGGGCCTCGAACAAAACCATGGATTCTTTGTGATGAGCACCGGAATGTGAAAACGTATGGATAAAAGGGTTTACTGCTTGTCTCACTGTGTAGCACTGCAGCTTCCATGGTGAGGCTTTCTCCTTTTTCCCCACCCCGTATCCCCGCCCCTCCGCTTTTTATCTTAAATTTTATTTTGTGTTTTGTTGGTGGGGGAGGGAGATGGGTGGGATTAGGAGGCATGATGTAAAAGACACAAAGAATAAATAAAACGAAAGGTTTTCTAAAGAGAGAGGGAGGGGGGAGGTAGCCCAGGTTAACTTAATTCAAAATAAGTTTTCTGAGAACACATTGGATAGAATTTAAGGAGAGTCTGATTTTAAAGAAAATCATTATTTGGAGTGCTGGCCGGAGAAAATAGGAAGAGACCAGATGAATGCACAATGCCACGAGGTTCAAAAGTGACTGATTCTTTCTTTCTCTGAATTTGCATTATATCAATTACACTCTGAACTCTGGAAAGTGTTCCAGTGACAAGGACACTTTAATTGTCCATTTAAATATGGTAACGAAAAGCTTACTGACCTAGTAATAGATATGGGCATTCTGAAGCCCCTGAAGTAGCCTACATTCTAAGGAAGCAGAATTGAGGGGCCAAGTCCTTAACCTTAAGATAGCATCCGAACTCAAGTGTAAAACGCCTGTGGCTTTCTGTGAATCTTGAAAGGACGGAGTCCAAGCTAGTTTACTCCAGAATGCCTCTAGCAAGTCTTCACAGTAGCTACTCTTAACACAGTTACACCCATTTCCCCCTTTGTGTTGATCTAAATGAAATGCAGCTGCTGAATTTTAGCCATTTTGACCTAAAATAAAATTGGCAACTTCATATGGTTTAACCAAATAGTGGAAGTTGGGCATAGACAGATGAGAATCCTAGCATTCAGTTATGTTGCATGTTATAAATCATGTTACATGTTACTGTTCAAAAATTTGACACATATTTCAGAACAGACCAGGAAAGTCAGAAGTAGTGTGGTTCTGTCTGAAGTCAATGTCCTGCGAGCCAAGACCTCTCATTTCAGGGGGCAGAAGATGAGTGTCACAGCTCAAGCACACACAGGCGACTTTGGAGGTTTTCCCCTTCTATCTATTGTGTTGCTTAGAATATTTCCCTTTTATTTCTTTAAAACCACAGTTTCCCATTCATCAGTGTAGGACTCAAATATTCTGTAACTTTGAAAGTTATCATTCTTAATATATATAAAGTATAGCAGTCACCATTAGTTCAATGCATGCAGTTATGTTCATTTCCTCATTTTGATATTTATTTACTTATTTATCTTGAGACAGAATCAAAGTCTAACTTGTGATCCGATCCTCCTGCATCGGCCATCTAGAATGTTAGGATTGCAGATATTCTCCACCATGCCAGGCTATTGTTTAATGGTCCCTCAAGTTTTATCCTCACTGACTACTTGACTTCTTCTCCTTCCTTTTTATATTGGCTAAATGTTTTGGTTTTTGTTTTGTTGCTGTTGTTGTTGTTTATTGTTTTTTTCAAGACAGGGTTTCTCTGTATTGCTTTGGAGCCTGTCCTGGAGCTCGCTCTGTAGATCAGGCTTGGCTTTGAACTCACACATATCCGCCTACCTCTCCTGGGATTAAAAGCGTGTGCCACCAATGTCGGGCTTGGCTAAATGTTGATCTTTCTGATTCTACTCTATTTGGCCTTTGTGTGTGTGTGTGTGTGTGTGTGTGTGTGTGTGTATCTGTGTGTGTGATTATCTCTCTGTCTCTCTTTTCTCTCCTCTCTCTCTCTCTCTCTCTCTCTCTCTCTCTCTCTCTCTCTCTCTCTGTGTGTGTGTGTGTGTGTGTGTGTGTGTGTGTAGTGTCCATGTACACATGCATGCCCTCATATGAGCTCAGAAGACAACTTTCAAGAGCTGGTTCTCCCTTTCTATCTTTACATGGACTCAAGGGATAGAACACAGCTTGCCAGTTCTGTGCAGTGCTTTTTTTTAGCTGCTGAGCCATTTCACTGGTCCTATAATTTGATGATGGTGGTGATGATGATGATGATGACAATTTTATAATTGTGTGTGTCTTTGTGTGGTATGGACCCACAGTCATGACATGCTTGTGAAGGTCAAATAAGTCTTTCACAAGTCAGCTGTCTCCTTCTGTAGTGGGTCTCAGGGATCAAACAGGGGCCACCAGGCTTGGTGATCAGTGTCATTGCCTGCTGAGCTATTGACAGCTCTTACCGTCTATACTTTCTCCTACTTTCTGTCTCTTCATGTGCTGTTCTGGAAGCATTCATTTCCAGGACAGGTTAGTCTTATCTTCAGAATTTATATGTGCAACACATCCTAGAGCCCCTTGATTTTACTCCAATTAACTTCTTACTGCATTTCTTCTTATTACTGTTGGTGATTTCTCTTCTATATTTCATTTTGTTTCTCTCTTGATTTTTTCCTAGAGTACATTTGTCATGGCTATATTCAATTATAGTTTTACTGCATGGTGTACATTGTTGAGCTTGCTATGTTTTGATTGGTATGAGGTATGAGGTAGTTGTGCTTTTCACATGCATGATGATCAGAGACTAACCCTCTGAAACTGTAAGCAAGGCTGGAATTAAGTGCTTTTCTGTATAAGTTGCTTTGGTCATGGTGCTAGGCAGTGACTAAGGCAGTGAAAGTTGAGGTTTTGAGAGGAGATAGAGGGTCACATATGACTTGAAATCCCACACATCTCAACTAGTCACTTGAGTGGGACATTGTCCTTTAATCTTGGGGGCTGCACTCAGCATCCTTCAGAAGGAAGAAACAACAGCATGTGGGAAAAAAAAAAAACACAGAGAAGAGGCAGGGGGAACTTTGTGTTCTTCCCTTGAAAATTCAAAATTTAAATGATCCTCTCATGTGGCCTCCAGCCACTCCTTCATACACATGCATCTCCCTCATGAATGTGCAACCTTCCCTGTCCATGGCCATGACAGGCCCAACCAATTCAAAACTGCTTTCGGAATGCCTTTCGCACAGGCTTTTGAATCTTGTTCTGTTGCCGAACTCATGGCTCTGCCTCGTATTATCTATGCTAGTTTCCTATCATGAAAGGAAATCTAAGATCTTAATTATTCTGGTAATTTTAAAGGCACCGCCCCCCTTTTTGGCATATGAAGAGCCACTCCACCTACTGCAGGGGAAATGACCCCAGAGACTGCAGTGGAAATGACCCCAGAGACAATGAGTTTTCTGTAATAGTTTTATATATGGTTTCCTTGAAGCTAAGTCCATAGGAGTCAGTTTCCTTTACATTTTCGAGCTTTATTCACTATTTTTCCCCTTCTATATTTTTTTGACACATCCTTGGGATGAATGTGAGTCCTGACCGTAGCACAGGAAAGCATGCAGCTCCTGTCAGTTTCATTCTGTTCTTGGGATTTATCTTTTTAAGACCCTGCCTGATTACTCCTAAGATACCTTTATCTGCTGTCAGGGTGATGTAGAATGGCTTCCTGAGCTAACATACATACCCTCAGTAGGTCAATATTATGCCTGATGATGCAGAGTTCAGAAAACAAGGTGGTGTTTATTTACCCTCCAAATCAAGTTCTCAAGTTTCACAGCAAAAGATCATATTCATCTGGCCGATCAGCTTTCCATTCTGTAAAATACGATTTTCTTCAGAAACCTCTTTGTGCCAATGTGGAGGACAAAACATAAACACTCTCACTTAAGACTAACCATGTTGTACCAGCATGCTGCTAAACTCTGTCCTTAAATTCCACAACACGTTTGTGTGTGTGTGTGTGTGTGTGTGTGTGTGTGTGTGTGTACCTATCTGTTTATGCACTGAGTCCTGTATTTGGAGGCTGAAATAGTTAAGTCAGCAGTGATTTATTCAGTGTTCAGTGAGGTTAAACCCACGAAACTGGTTATCAGTGGCCATGTATAGACTATTCTGGCAGCTGCAGGAAGTAGGAAAAGCATTAAGGGATATGACTGTGAACTCATTTATTTCCAATTAGGCCTGCTGTTGAGATGCCTTATCTATGAAAACTCTGGGAGCAGATGAAAAATATCAAGGCATGAAAACCTGAGAAATAATAAAACTCCTAACCAGAACGCTAAAAAGTCACTTTAGGATGAAGATATCTTAAAATTTAAAGAAGTGTTAAATAT